TCTATCCAGGATCTCCAGATTTGATCTTTTCCTGAGTGATTGGCATTGGTAGCTGGGCACCATCTAGTTCTGGTCTTGAGGGCCATCATGTCCTAGGGCTGATTGCTTCCAAATGCCCTTTTTTTTTTTTTTTTTTTGTTCTTCTTTGCTTCTGATGATAGCAGACCATTAGGTGCATCTTGGTTGGTGCTTGAAAGCTTTTAAGGCTTCAGTCGCTACTCACCAATGTAGGATGAGAAATGAGACTTTTATGTGTTTTGTTGTGCCAATTGAGTCTGGTGTCCCCAGTACTATGGTCCTGAGATGGTAGATCCGTTGGGTCTTTCTCCAACAGTGTCTGGGTGTCTGTGAGGGATTACTCTATGTCTGTCTTCTATTGTTTCTGTAAGGATTGCAGGTATTTTGTATCACTGGTATCTGTGCAAGGTTAGCCTTCACTGAATCTATCCTTGGTCTAGAGTATACTCCGGTTAATTGACCCCCACCTGATCCTCTCAGGTGTTTATGTGTTTATTTGTAGCCTGGTGCTTGGTGTTAATGGTAATGCAGTATTGTGGGCACACTGGTTGATATTAGCATCTGTCGTCTATCTCTTATGTGCACAAGTCACTGTCCTCCCTTTTCCTAATGTTATCATGATGGTCACAGACTCTTTCTATACATTTCTCCCCTTACCCACGTCAGCCCCCAAAAGCCCAAAATTAGCCCCCAAAAGCCCAAAATTAATCCCTCTCCTTCCCTTCCTACCCTGGTAACCTACAAAGTGAATTCCCTTTCTCAAGCAAACCCTTCTTTGTTTTTTTACAGTAATGGGCTCATATAGTACTTGTCTTTCTGTGATTGATTTATTTCACTCAGCACAGTGTCTTCTAGGCTCATCCACATTGTGAGATGATTTGCGTATCCCCCATTGTTCCTTAATGTATCATAGTATTCCACTGTGTGCATGTACCATAGTTTGGTTAGCCATCATCCACTGATGGGCATTTAGGTTGTTTGCATCTCTTTGCTATAGTGAACTGTGCTGCGATGAACATAAGTGTACATATGTTTGTGTGCTGTCTCTCACCTCTTTAGGATATATTCCTAGTATTGGAATTGCTGGGTCAAATAGTATTTTTATTTTCAGTTTTTTGAGGTAATGCCATACTGTATACCACAGTGGTTGTACCAGTTTATGATCCCACCAGCAATGCACAAGAATTCCAAACTCTCAGCAACCTCACCAGCATTTGTTATTTTCTGTCCTGTTAAACTTTGCTATTATTGCTGGGGTGAGATCTCGTTGTTTTGATTTGCATCTCTCTAATGACTAATGATCATGAGCAATTTCTCATGTGTTTGTTGGCCGCCAGTATATCATCTTTGGTGAAGTGTCTGTTCAAGCCTTTTGCCCATTTTTGAACTGAGTTGTTTGTCTTTTTGGTGTTGAGGTGTCGAAGTTTTCTATAGATTTTGGAGATAAGTCCTTTATCAGATATGTCATAGGCAAATATTTTCTCCCAATCTGTAGGTTCTCTTTTTACCCATTTGACAAAGTCTTTTCGATGCACATAAGAATTGAATTTTTAAAAGGTCTCAGTCATCTAGCTTCTCTTCTACCTCCTGTGCATTCTGGGTTATGATTGACAGTCTATTTATGCCAACTTGAGTTTGTTTTTGTGTATGAGGTGAGGTATGGGTCTTGTTTCACTTTTCTGCAAGTGGATATCCAGTTTTGCCATTACCATTTGTTAAAGAGGCTGTCTCTTCCCCCATTTAATGGGTTTTGGACCTTTGTCAAAGATCAGCTGTCTATAGATGGATGGGTCTATATCTGGACTTTCAATTCTGTTCCATTGGTCTATCTGTCTATCATTGTACCAACACCATGAAGTTTTGACTACTGTGGCTGTATAGTAGGTTTTTAGATCTGGGAGTGTGAGACCTCCCACTTTGTTCTTCTTCTTCAGAAGTGCTCTGCTTATCTGAGGTCTCTTTCCTTTCCATATGAAGTTAGTAATTGGTTTTTCCATGTCCTTAAAAAATTTTGTTGGTATATGGATTGGAATTGTGTTAAATGTGTAGATTGCTTTAGGTAGTATTGACATTTTCACAATATTGAGTCTACCTGTCTATGAACAGGAGCTCTGGTGGCATAGTGCCTAAGGCATTTGACTGCTAACCAGAAGGCTGGTGGTTCAAACCTACCAGCCACTCCTTGGAAGGAAAGTTGGGCAACCTACTTCCATAGAGATACTGCTTCAGAAACCCGAGGAGAGGTCGCTATGAGTTGGGTCCGACTCGACAGCAGTGTGTGTGTGTGTGTTTGTGTGTGTGTATCCATGAAAAAGGAAGGTTCTTCCATTTATGTAGTGTCCTTATTGTCTCTTGTAGTAGTGTTTTATAGTTTTCTTTGTGTAGGTCTTTTGTGTCTCTAGTAAGGTTTATTCCTGGATATTTTATCTTTTTAGTAGCTATTATAAATGGTATTGTTTCCCTTATTTCTTTATCAGAGGACTGTTTGTTTGTCTAGAGGAATCTTACTGATTTTTGTATGTTGACCTTTTATCCTGCCACTTTGCTGAACTCTCTATTAGTTCCAGTAATTTTTTTGTTGGGTCTCTTGGGTTTTCTATGTACAGGATTATATCATCTGCAAATAGAGATAGTTTTACTTCCTCTTTGCCACTTTGTATGTCTTTTATTTCTCTTTCTTGCATTATTGCCCTGGCCAGGACTTCCAATACAATGTTAAATAGAAGTGGTGATAGAGGGCATCCCTGTCTGGTTCCCATTCATAAGGGAAATGCCTTGAGTCTTTCTCCATTAATAATGATGTTGGCCATTGGCTTTGCATATATGCCTTTTATTATGTTGAGGAATTTCCTTTCTATCCCTATTTTGCTGAGAGTTCTGAACAGGAACGGGTGTTGGATTTTATCAAATGCCTTTTCTGCATCAATTGATATAATCATATGGCTCTTTTGTTTTGTTTATGTGGTGATTTACATTGATTGTTTTTTTTCTGATGTTGAACCACCTTTGCATACCTGGTATGAATCCCACTTGGTCAGGATGTATTATTTTTTTGATATGTTGTTGGATTCTGTCAGCTAGGATTTTGTTGAAGATTTTTGCATCTGTGTTCATGAGAGATATTTATCTGTAGTTTTGCTTTTTAGTGGTGTCTTTCTCTGGTTTTGGTATTAGTGTTAGAAAAGTAATTTATATTATGAAGTAAATACAAAATCACAGAAGATCTAATGGTGCCAGCATCTATATGCAGACTTACCATGGCCACCTCAAGTGCAGACTGAGGCTCAGGCTTGTCTGAACCAGGAACATTGCCATGGTAGCAGGAAAGGAGAGAAATGCTGAGTCATTTATGCACCAGCCTGCAGGTCACTTGTTATTGTGTGTCCCATGGCTACCTCTAACTTCAAGGGATCAGAGGAGTATAATCATTCCATAGGCCTGTGAGAAGGAGAATCAGAAAGCTTTGGTCTAACTGAGGTTGACTTTGGCTTTGCAATTGCCCATATATGTTTGAGCACATGGTGTCCATCAGGACATTGGATGCAACACAGTCCTCTGAGACTGTGACTGCCCCCATGTATTATAGATATGGCTGTGTCACCAATGCCAGTAAAGCTCCCCTGGGCAAAGATGGTGCTGACAAGTTTCCAGGACCCTCTTCATAGGCAGGGTGGCCCTCCTTAAGAACCTCTGCATCAGTCAAGCTAATGGGATTTATTTTTAGGTAATAATTCAAAAAAGGACAGGACTGTTTGTCTGACTTTATTGATATCGAGGTTATTAATAACAGGATAAGATTGGAACCAAACCAAATATCCAACAGAATGGAAATGTTTGATTAACTAAGATTTTTCTAAACAGAAGAAAATTATATAGCCATTAAGCAGATAACTGGATTTCCTGAGTAGTGGAAATAAATGGTTAACACACTCAGCTACTATTGAAAGATTAGAGGTTTGATTCTACCCAGAGCACCTTGGAAGAAAGGCGTGGTGATCTGCTTCCAAAAAATCAGCCATCGACAACTCTATGAAGTATACTTCTATTCTCACACACATGGGAATGTCATGAGTTGGGGTTGACATGATGACAGCTGTTGTTGTTAGTGGTAGAAACAGATAACTAAAATATCTGTTACATATTATGGACTGAACATGTATTTAACACTTTATGTAATCTATGTGAAAGTATATGAAACTGATAGCTATATGAGGATAAATCTATTATTGTCACTTAAAACAACCACCATTGCTTAGCTCATGAGTCTGTAGCTTGGCAATTTGGACTGGGCATACACTGCCTGTTTCTTCTGTTGGCCTGACCTGGGCTTACTTATGCTGTGGCAGTCAGCTGGAGCCTTGATTGGCTGGTTGGTCAGCTCAGTTTTCTAGCAGTTGGTGCTGGCTGTTGGCTAGACCTCTATCTCCAGCAGGCTATCCATGAAAATCTTTAACCAAGTTGGAAAAGCATGCCATATTTGAGCCCCAAATTATAAATCTAAAGCTACTAAGAGAGGGGATAGATGGAGATTGTTTTATGTGTCTGTTTTTATACTGGGAGCTCTGGTGGCATTAGTGCCTAAGCCATTTGACTGCTAACCAGAAGGCTGGCAGTTCAAACCCACCAGCCAGTCCTCAGAAGGAAGGTTAAGCAACCTACCTCCATAGAGATGCTGCCTCAGACACCCAAGAAGGGGTTGCTATGAGTTGGACCCAACTTCGATTTCATACTATTCCTCAAAGGCTTGATTGACCATAGAATGTCAAAAGTAGAGCAGATCAGCCAAGAAGTTTCATCTGAAGTGTCAAATCAGTTGATCCTGGAACTGAGGCTGATCCCAGTCAGGGAAGTCGGCCATGGGAGAGGGATTGAGGGTGTCGGGGTCAGCACCACACATTTGCCTTGGGGAAACTGAAGCCCTTGGAAGGATGGAGTTTCCACATTTTTGAGAAATGACTGACCATGATGAACTCTGTGTACAGGTTGTGGTGCGGGAACTGCTGGCTCAATATTCCAAACAGTCTGAAGAAAGACCGTTTTTTGGCCTACTCCAAAACTGGACTGAGTCCATGGGTGACAAGCTGAGAACCAGGTACGTATTGCTCAGGTTGTCACTGTCACTGACTTTCTGTGTCTTATGAAGCCTGACTTATAGTGCCTTGTCATGCCACAACTCACTCTTGTTTGGATGTTTTAAGTAATATTTGATATATACAAAACTGTATATAAATTATATGTGTAAAATCAATGCCCATGAACCCATCTTAAGAACTAAAACAGGGCTAATATTCTAGAAACTGATGCTCCTTCCTCTCCATGTCCACTGTTCCAAGCACATTACAGTTTTATCTACCTTATGAAGACCTCATGAGGTAGGTACTGTTATGATTTACTTTTCACACAAAAGGAAACAGAGGCACAGAGGTTAGCCATTTTGCCCAAGATAACATGGCTAGTGAGCATCAGAGGTAGGATTTGAATCCAGACAGTCTGGCTTCAGGATCAGTGCTTTGGGTTGTTTTTGTTGATAATTTAGTATTATCTTTGAGCTTTATAAATAAGGCATACTGTATGTGGTATTGTGTAACTTCCTGTTTTGCTCAATGTATTGTTTCTAATATTTATCCAAGTTGTTATGTTAGCTGAAGAGCTGATCTCTTTGCTCATAATATTCTATTATGTGCATATGTCACGATTTATTTATTCTTTCTAATCTCCACTATCAGTGGACATTGAATTGTGTCCAATTTTTTGATATTTTGCACAAAGCTATTACAAACAGTCTGTACATACTTCTTGGGCAACATGTACGAGAGTTTCTACAGGTCTCTCAGACTTGTTTGAAATGACCCAGATTCAAAATTACATCTTTCATCACTGCTGACATCCATAGTTTGCAATCTGTTGTTTGAAAAACACTCCTGTAAGGTATGTACTACCTAGGAGAGGAATTGCTGTTTTGTAGAGTATGCCAAGTTCAGCTTCACTAAACCAAGTCAAACCCACTGCCACTGAGTTGATTCCAATTCATAGCTACCCTGTAGGACAGAGTAGAACTTCCCATAGGGTTTCCACAGCTATAAATCTTTACAGAAGCAGACTGCCTCATCTTTCTCCTGCAGAGTGGCTGATGAGTTTGAGCTGCCGACCTTTTGGTTATCAGCAGAATGCTTTAACCATTACATCACCAGAGCTCCTCTCAACTTTACTAGATAATGCCCAATTATTTTTTCCACGTGGTTGTACAAATTTACACCCCAACCAGCAGAACGTAGCCTGTGGAGCCACAGACTCACCAAAGCTTGGTATTATCAGACTTTTTAATTTTTGTCAATCTGATGTAAAAAATGATATCAGACTGTGATTTTAAACTTCATTCTTCTGATTTCTGTTAAGGTTGAACATATTTTCATATATGTATTTATCATTTGTATTTCAACTTTGAAATTCTTGTTCATGTCTTCTGCCAATTTTTTTTACAGTTTCCTCCCCTTATTTTAGTGATTCTTTATCTTTTATTATTATAGGTGCTGCTACTGTCTTCTCCAAATTTTTGGCTCATCTTATACTTTCTTTGTGGTGTCTTTTGATGAATATAAATTCTTAAATTAGAAATCAATGTATCAATTATTTCTTTCCTATTCAACATTTTCTGTATCTTGTCTACTCTGAGGTCATAAGGTAGAATTTTTCAGTTTGAGAGCTTCATTTTTCACATTTAATTCTTTAATCCATTGGAAATTTGTATCTGTGGTATGAGGAAGGGATCACATTTCATTTTTCTCCCTTAAGGATGGTCAGTTTTTCCAGCACCTGTCAGTTTTATAGAGCCATTTACTAGATTAACTGTACTTTTCTAGTGGTCTTCAATATCTCCTCTGGCATTTAAGTTTCCATATATACATGAATCCATTTATGGGCTGTCTGTTTTGCTCCTGGTGTTTGTATATCTTTGATCCAACACTTGATAGTGACACTAGTTTTATAATAAGTGTTTTTACATTTTCAGGATTATGTTGGCTGGTCTTGGTCCTTTGCTCTGCCATCTAAATTTTAGAATCAGTTTGTCAAATTCTTTAGATAAGACAAAACAAAACAAAACAAAAAATCCTGCTGGGCTTTTCTTTGAAAGCATATTAAATCTATAGTTTGTTTTCAGGAAAATTGACATATTTATAAAACTGAGTCTTCCTCTGTATTTTAAGATTCTAAGCCTCTTCCAGAGTTTTATAATTTTTCCATACAACTCATACATGCTTTTGACAGATTTGTCGTTGTTGTTGTTATGTGCCGTCGAGTTGGACCTGAATCGTAGCAACCCCTCCTTGGGTTTCCAAGGCGGTATCACTACGGAAGTAGATTGCCCAACTTTCCTTCCAAGGAGTGGCTGGTGGGTTTGAACTGCCAGCCTTCTGGTTAGCAGTCAAATGCCTTAGGTGCTATACTACCAGATTTGTCATTAGACATTTTATAATTTTGGATGTATAAATGTGTATTTTGAAAATTATGTTTTTATTATCACTGGCTTAGTGTAAATGCAGCTGACTTTAGTATATAAGTCACATAGCCAGCCATCTTTAAAAATTTTTCTTATGGTGATGTCTATATATTCTTTGTGGTTTTCTCTATACATCTCAAATCATCGTATTTTTCTTTCTTTCTTTCTAATTCGTATTCCTTTTATTCTTTTTTTTGTGTTTTTTTTTTTTTTTTAATCTTAATGTGTGGGTTTAGTACATCTGTTTACATCACATCAGGAAATACATAATAGGTTGTCCCCCTATTGCTGACACTAAGTTTGATACTTGGTCAAGATTGTGAGCTCTAGATTACTCTATTGGAAAAGAACATTTGATTTAAAAGTCAATAGTTTATAATAAGATACTCTCTCACAAGTCTTACTCCTTTCCTATTCCCTCTATCCCATTTTTATCCTGTATTTGGAAGCCCCTTTCTACGAGCTTCTGGATTTATCATGTCAGTGTTTCTTTTTGCAAAAAAAGAATAACAATTGTATGTATTCATTCTTTTTCATCTTCTATTTTATTCAAAAGATAGGATATTATATAGGCTGTTTTGTCCCTTACTTTATTCACTTTGCAGTAATATTCCCCAGTCATTACTCCATATCAATTTATAGAGATTTTCTTTCTTTCTTTTTTTTTTTTTTTGTGGCAACTGCATAGTACTACATTGCATGAAAGCACCATAGATTATTCAAGCAGTCTCTTATGGATGGACATTTGGGTCATTTACAATATGTTGTAACTAATGCTTCAATAAATAAATACTCCCTTGCATATTTTGTTTTGCATTTGTGGAAATATATCTTCAGAATAAGTCCTGGAAGAGTAGGGTCGTTAGACCAAAAGGTAAATGTGATTTATTAGATGCTGCCTAATTTCCTCTTTCTTCTTACTATTATGCTTCCCTCACTTGTTTTTCTGCCTTTCTCCTTTTCTTATGTGAATATTTAGGGCTATTTATCTTCCACATAAACACTGATCAACTGGTTTGTTAGTTTTATACTTTTAGTTCTTATATTCTCATACCATGTTCCACAAATTTTGAGATGTATTTTCTATTATTATTCAATTCTAATTATATTTTTAATTATATGATTTCTTCTTTACTTACTTGTTTTTTGGAAAGTTGTTTGGAGATGTTATGTTTGTGTTTTTGTTATTGACTTCTGGTTGGACTCACCTTTTTTAGAGAATATAACTATATAGTATTGATTCTTTGAATATTGAAATGTACTTATAGCTTGGTACACAGTAAACTTTTGTAAATGTCTGATGTGGGAGGAAAAGGCACTAAATTTCTGTGTGTGTTCAACAAACCAAGCTTGCTAATTGTGATATTCTATATTTTTGTGTGTGTGTCTCTGGGTGATGCAAATGGTTAAGAAATGGACTACAAGCCAAAAAGTTGACAGTTTAAACCTACTGAGAGGCTCCTTATGTGTCTGAAAGGTCACATCTTTGAAAACCCTCTGGAGGAATCCTACTGTGCACACATGGGATCTCCATGGTTTGGAATTGACTTGATAGCAATGAAAAACAACAACATATTTTTTTTTATTATTTTTCATTTGTTAGCCCTACTAAAAATTGAGTAAAGTGTCTTGAAATTTGCCATTCTAATGATGAATTTATCAATTTTTACCTGTAGTTCATTCTTTCTGTAGCTTTAAATGTGGAGATTAGACCATTAGGTACATGACTGTGTAGATCATGTATTTTCCTAATGAATTGGGCTTTTATTTCTTTTTACTTGTATTAAGTGATCCTTTCTCTCTCTCATAATGTTTATCTTAAAGTAAGTTCTACCTGATCTCAAGGAACACCCAGTGCAGGCCAGGAGATAGATATGTATACATACCCAAACCCATTGCCTTCAAGTTGGATCTGACTCACAGCGACCCCTCCTTGGGTTTCTGAGGCAGTATCACTACAGAAGTAGATTGCCCAACCTTCCGTCCAAGGAGTGGCTGGTGGGTTTGAACTGCCAGCCTAAGTTAGCCTTAGGCACTATGCCACCAGACCTCCCATGTAGACATACAGATGACAAAATATTGAAGAGCAAGAAAGTCTACAGAGAGAACCACTGGAATGAAGTGAGAAAATATTCTGGGGATGGGGGTGAGAGGAGTGTGGTCAAGAGAAAAACTTCTGCCAGTGGCTTGTGAAATGACTTGTTATTAGGGCAGCATGAGGATCTCAGTACACTTACACCCTGAGGTGTGTGAGGGAGATGAGAGAGGAAGCAATGAGGGACTAGGAACCAGAGATAGATGCCCTAGGTTCCAGGGGGCCATACCTCCCATTGACTGAAAAACCAAAAAACTTAACCCACTGCCGTCAAGTTGATTCCAACTCATAGTGATCCCCACAGGGTTTCCAAGTCTGTAAATCTTTATGAGAGTAAATTGCCTCATCTTCCTCCCACAGAGCAACTGGTGAGTTTAAACTACTGACCTTCCGGTTAGCAGCCACATTCCTCACCCACTGCACCACCAGAAGGACCATCAAATGCCATTAAATGAAAGGTGTTTTCCCGATGTTGTTCAACTAGCTGAGAGTTAAGGTT